ATATATTTGTATAGATTTTGTTGCTTTTATACGGCTCCCACAATGGAGCGGTGGATTAGACAACCAGACCGTACGTGCAGAAGTGTTTTATAGATGACCACCATATATTATGTTGGGCGGAATGAACGTTTGCGTTGTTGCGGTGTTTTCTCTTCTGAAGGGGTGTATATAAAGGTAATATAGAATATATATTACCTATACACACAAAGGTGTGTACAATATATACAGGCTGTATACACTGTGGAACTGAGGGTTGTAATGGGGGAAGGAAAAAGTGATATTGAACAAACCAGCAACTGGTCGCCACGAGTCTTTAGGAAGGTTACAAGTGTTAACAGAGCCCGGGCAGAGCCGAGACACACACCTGAGCTGAACAACTGAACGATGTTTCGATGATCGAAAAACAAATGACCATTCAGCCTCACATAACTACCTAGAAAACAAATTGATATCTTTATTTTGTTGTCCAGTATGTTCACACAAATTAAAAATAGCCCAGCCGCGATCAAGAATCTGAATAAAAATATTGACAAAGTGGGACGTTATCACCACCACGTTTTGTATGTCTGTCATATATGAGCACAGCTCTTATTATGTACAGGTGACTTCGAATGGCTTGGGAATCGCCTCAAGATACAGTGTGTTGAATGAGCGTGGCTGGGATCAAAGAATCAATTTTCTCCGGAATATGAATCTGGTCCATAGACTGCAGCGCTCGAGGTCTTGTTATTTATCACTCGATGTGGTTTAACACAGAGAATTGTGTCGCAGGACAACTAGGGTCTCATCAGCTTCTTCGCGGCGATTTCTACAGCTATATAGTTATATAATAACATGTCATTTCAACCTCAATTTAAAATCAATTTTTTTTATGATGGGCAGAGTATCAGAATTCATAAATCCGTCGGCCCTGTTCAGGGTGCAAGAAAAGATCTTGCGTCCCGCCGGGTGTCTGAAAGGACTGACGTGAGTTTCCTGTCTCAGGTGTCTTCCTGGCGGGGGGACTGTTCGCTGGCTCGGCCGGGGTCGTGGAGCTGCGGGTCCGAGCCGGAGATACGGTCACCCTGCCCTGCGACATCAGGCACCAGACCGAGACGCTGTGGATGATACAGCGGCCCCTGGAGATGCCGCTAATCGCCGCCGTCGCCCAGATCAGCGGCTCCCTGGTCATCAAGAAGGTGGAAGAGGGGTACCGGTCTCGCCTCACCCTCGTCCACGAACCCTCGACCCTCTCCGTCAGCCTGACGCTCGCCAACCTGACGGAGTCCGACCGGGCGCTGTACTACTGCGCCGGGAGAGTCTTCGGGCGGCTGCGCTTCGGAAACGGGACGGAGCTCGTCTTCCCCGGTGAGCCCCAGCCACCGCCCGACACCCCGATAACCCCTCACGCACACTAACACGCGAGCAGTTCCAGTCTGTGCACCCGCTCCCCTACACAGCACAGACACCCTGGGGTCCCACTCCTTCACTGTTCAACACTGCAGTCTTGTTCGGTACCGGTTCCGGTGTTGCCATGTTTCTACACGACCCTCCTTCCCGGTGTCTCTCGGTATTTGAAAAAGGCTTCACAATGGATAAGCTTTGAATCTGACCTCACTGAAACTATACGACATGATTTCCACCCGCGAATCTTACTGTGATGAGACAAGTTCCAAGCAATACGGTCGTTTGCATTTCCTTTTTGAGAAACTCATTACCTAAATCACAGAAAATGAACATTGTCTGAGCTGTTACTTCAGAAAGGCTGTCCAGCAGCAGTGAAGATGTGTTGAATTAGCCTCTCACCTGCTCTATCTGTGGTCCTGTAGAGGAACCAGACCGGACAGTGGTCAGTCCCAGTCCCTGCCTGACGTGCTGGACTCTTCTGCCCTCTGTGAGTGTGGTCTGTGTCATCGTGTCCTCTGTCTGCGTTTTCTCCTGCGTTTCCCTTAGAAGAGGTAAGACTGCCCACACAGCTGTGTTTTATTATGAAAAGTGAAATACAATTTGCACAAAAGCCGCTGTTAGTTAGGAAAACATCAACAGCCACTTAATGCGTGAAAGGCAGATGGAAATACTCCAATTAAGTCTTTCATTGTGTTATTGTTTCAAAAATGTTTTAACAATATAATAGTGTATAATTCTACTAGACCAGCTTGTCTTGTGTGGCTGTGAGTTTAACTGGACGATAGAACTTTTGTTTTTCAGTGTCTCGAGTATCAGTTTAATTTTAAGTTTCACGCGCTAAACTGGAATGTTTTGCTTCTGATGCTAAAATCTAAATAAACTAAATGAAAACCTGATGTGAATTATCTACGTCTGTTTGCATTGACCTTTATAGCCAGTCCTAGTAGCTTTTTCAGTCCAAAGAAACTTTCTCAGTCATTCCAGTTTGTCCCAATCCCAAGAAACACTTATTGTGGAAAAAGTAGAAAATGTCAGAATTTAATATTTAAGATCAACTCCAAGGGGTTTTTAATCTGATCTGCTTGTGTCTTTTAAAAAGACAGGTGAGGAAGATTTAAATTTCTCTTTCACACTTATTTATTTTCAATCGACGCTGAAAAGTCATTTATAAAAGCCATTTTTGCCTACTGCATCAAACTACTGAAAGTGCTGTATATTGTCTTTATATACTCAGATCCAGAGAGTTACATATTCTTCACCCTGATCTGACAGATGAACAAAACCATCTTTTACAGTGATGCTGGGAAGTGGAAAATATTTTGGGGTCACAGTGGAGTATAACTGTGTTTCCTCTTTGAAACCAGGCAGTAGAAGCTCTGAGAGTCGCCCCCAGACTGGAGGACACAGCGAGAGACAGGACAGTCAGGTACCGATCAGATTTTTATTTCAGTAAAAACTGTGTCTCAGATCCATCTAATAATAGTGATGATGGTGTTTGTGACGATGATTAGGGCAGAGAGTGGTTTATTTTTTGTGGGCTGTTAAGAGTATTGTTTTATGTTGACACTGATAAAAGATTGACAATCGTATCAGGGTGTGTCAGGAGAGTCACAGATTAAATTAGCAGAGTGTGTGCGTGTGTGTGTGCGTGTGTGTGTTCAGGCTTGTCCTCACCTCACTGTCTATGTGTTTGCAGGAAGAGGAGGCCAGACTGCAGTACGCCACTATAGAGATCAGCAGACAAAACACGAAGCACAAAAAGAGAGGTGGCCAGAACACACAGCCCACTACATATGCTGAGATCAAGCATGGGAGACGTGTGTGACAGTAAAGTACACAAAATACACAAAGAGCACTTAGCAGGACTGAAAAACATAATCAGGTTTAGTACTGGGAATCAAAACTGATAAATGCATAACAACCCATAAAAAAGTATTTTATCAAGACTACTGGTCAAGAACTAGTTGAAGTACATTTTTCTCTTTTATCTTCATTTCCTTTATCTCCAGTTGTTTTGTTTGGCTGATTTAATGAGTAGGGACCATCCAGACAACTTCCTCTGAAATGAAATCTAGTCAAATTTGTTTCTTGAAAACTGGAAGGAGTGATCCAGCAATTTCTAAGAACATATTTCTCTGTAAGAATTACTTATGAGCTGAAGTATCTATGGATTTCACGTCAAGATACTTCTGCTTGGCAGCTACCTTGTAAAGTCCTTTGAATCTACATAGATAATAAAGAGATAATGCAAGATACATCTATCCATCTGGTCGGTTGATAAAGAAACAAATGTTGTTTGGTTAAACAAAGGAACCAAACAGCATTTGTTCTTTGTGTCTGATGCTCGTGTTCAACAATGCTGTGAGCAGATCAAGGGCTCCCTGCATCCTGTGTACAGCAGCCTGCCAGCACCAGCACTAACTTGACCGCAGCTCGATGACCGCAGATGTTTCCATGAGCTCAGCCGCTCTCTATATTTACTCTCTCAGGCCTGTGATAGTCACACTGGGCTCGGGAGGACAGGGGGCTGGGGGGGAGGTGGAGAACTTGACAACAGGTTCGCACTGACAGTTTCCTGTGTTGTTTCTGTTGCTGTGTCTCTGCTGGGCCGTGTGCTCGCCAGCGTCTACTTGTTTACTCCTCGGGCTCCCCAAAATGCATCATCAAGCAGAATTAGGAACAGAAAACTGTGTAAAAACGGGAACCACACAGGCCCTGTGTGCCCCTGTTTTTTCAAGACCTCTCTATCCAGAAAAGCGCTATATCAGTGTAAGCAATTATTATTATAATTATTATTATTATCCCACAGACTGTTCCTCAGACATCAGACACTTTTGATTCTGCGCAGGAGAGCTGCACCTGTTAGACAAGTGGTGCCTTCCTGGACAGAGGACACAACACAGGTCACAAACGAGAGGCCGCAAATGTTGGGTAGTTCGTGGCTAATCAATTCGAAGGTCTCAACTAGAGATTTGAAAATGACAGAGTGAAGATCACATTCTTGAAGGAAGCCAGGGTATCGGCTTCAATAACATGGCTGGGCAGCCTGTTCCACACCCCCGCCACTCTCTGTGTAAAGAACAGTCTTCTGGTCTTTAAATCACCTTTAGAATTATTTAAATCACCTTTTCTGATACCAGCTTAGTGTATTATATCCAAATGAGAATAAATAAAATGAGTATATTTTACTCCACCCTGTTCTGCTAGGTCTAACACTTCACACCGGAAGCTCTGCTTGCTCACACACACTGTTCATCCGGACCGGGTCGGCCTGACGAGATTCAGGCTCAATCTTCAGGCCCAGAGCCGGAGGCCGCTGCCTCCCCCTGCTGGCCGGACGTGGTAGCGCCGCTTCACCGCACTGAAGAAACCGAGAACAGTCAAATTCTGCCTGTAATAAT